GAAAGTTCTTTCCGGAATTATATAAAAATGTTCCGGAAAATACTTTCCATAATATTAAATTCTTATTCCGGAAAGTATTTTCCGGAAATGTTTTGTTACATAATTCCGGAAAGTATTTTCCATAATATTAAAGTTACTATTACGGAAAGTTCTTTTCGGAATTATATGAACAATAATTTTATTATTCCGGAAAGTACTTTCCGGAATGCTAATGATTGTAAAAGAGCCTTTCTTATGCTGGTTATGGTGGGGCTAGTCCTTTTTTCTATTCAGAATGAGTGTAAAAGTATATTACTTAATGACATTGAGTGGAAAAAGACTTTGGGAAGAAGAGGGGTGTGGAGTGTGGGGTGCGGGGAAGGGGGGTGCGGGGAAGGGAGGTGTAAATTTAGGAATTTTATTTTTTTTAAAGGGTAATTTAGACATTTTATATATATTTTTTTAAAAAGGGAATGTATTTATACGAGAGTGGAGGTGTGTTTATCATCAGCCCTCTTTTCCTATCATTAAGCCCAGCTCGGATGGATTCTATTGGGCTAGGCCCAAATATATTTTGACCAATTATCTGTAACCCCAACGCAACCAATCCCTTGAATTAAAGACCGCTTATTATATTCAGATTATGATATTTTTTAATATTATATGTCCATTTTATAATATATATATATATAAACAGAAATCTAATAGCCTTTCTGCATCTACATCAACTTTTATTTATTTTATTTATTTTATTTGGTTTGTAAATAGGAGGCACCCTACCCTACTCTGGTGTGGGGGGTATCTGATTAACGGCATGTGAGCCAAAGAAAATTTAACAACCAAGTGGAAACCCAAAAGCCGAGAGTGGTTTGGTCTAGTTCTCGTTTTATTTTGGACTTTACAGCATTTTTTTCTTACTTCTAAAAAGCAGTTTTTCTGGGCCCAATTTATGGAGTGGTTGGTCTACTTCTCGTTTTCTGACAAGTTATTCTTTGGTGTACCTTGTATCCTACATTACAAGCAGGACAAATCCAGGGTATTTAGATAGGAGTACGATAATGCTATCATATACATCGAATTAAACAATATTTTTCTCAAAATTAAAGGATATATTTAGTTTTCTAAACTATTTTAATTAATATTTATCTTTTAAATAACATTGATTACTCTAATGGAATATACTAAAATAATTTACATTGATTAAATCTACTTTTAACATTTTACAAGTATTTATAAATGCCCGTAAATCATACTACTTACTTGCTAGTTATGATGTGATCAACAAAAGAAGTTTTAACAGTATTGATTGGTTGGGAATAAAAAATGTAGGAATTTATTTTTCTTGTTACATGTATTATCTAATTTTAATTTTTCATATTAGAGACTGATCTCACTCGATCGTAATATTGTTACTGTTGTTTATTTGATTAGTTTTTGTACATAATAAAAATTGATGATGAATTTGTTTAAATAAAATCAATTATTTTATTTTTCAATAATTGTTCAAAACTAATTTTTATTAATTTCAACATTAAACCACTCGAATTTAATGTTTTTCTCATCTTTACAATTTAGGATGTGTTTAAAACCCTATTTAAATGGTGCTGAATAGAAATTTTGCACATTTCAATGCACAAATGCTGAGCTAATAAGAATATTGAATGGAGTTAAATGTATTTGTGAGCTAATAAGAATATTGAGTTGAGTTAAATGTAAATTTGGTTAGATTAAACCGAAAATTAATACATATTAATCCAAAAGTGAAAATTACTTCGGTTACTATTAAATTATATTTATTTTGTTACATCTAACTCTACAAGTGAAAGAGAAATAAGAGGAAGAATTCTATATGAAATAAATAATACTATAATAAGAGAAGAGTAAAATAACAAGCGTCAATTCACCCCAATCAAATACAATGTAAAAAGAATGCATATTATATTGTTTGGTTAGATGAGCAAGGAGGGCAAATGGTTCCCCTTCTTGACGTGGTAAGCTTCCTATTCCTACTTGCTATTGCTAGCTTCTCTCATCCATAAGGAAAGTAATGATGTCATCTTCAAAAGTCCGGAATATTTAATTTAGTAGGTCAAGGAAATAGAGCAAATGAGATAAACATACACCCATCAATTTATATATATATATAAATTATATATGCCCACAATAGATAGTATTAAAGTGTTTTATAACGTCCTGCAAAGTAATTAAATCCTTTTATTCTCAGTTTTTTTTCCCTTCATATTTTATATGTTTTTATGTGAACTTATATTAGGATGAGATAAAAATTTTGTAATTCTAATTGATAATTGACTTTAATTTTATATAAAGTCGTGTTTTATCTAAATATAAACTATTTTTGTAAAAAAAAATATTTTTAGATTCTTCAATGATTATTCTTTATGTTGTTTTCTCTGTAATTATATATTGTTGAGTTTTTTCTGTATTTATTTTCGATTATGCAAAATGATGGAGTTAATTTCAATCTATATCTAGTTGGGTTTTATTGAATCCTTGTGTCTTAACTTGATGGCTTAGTCATTAACATGGTACGAAGGAAAAGTGAATTAGAAAGAGAGAAAAGAGAAATAATAGTAATAGATGTGTAATTAGGGTAGGTTTGAATTTGGAGGATGGTTTGTGTCTCTATCTTCCCTTAGCAGAGACTCAAGTATTCCCACGTCCCCACAGGCACAGCACCTAACGTGTACCATTAATTCTTTTCTTTACATGCAAGATCATAGATGCCATGCCCCTCTCTTTTTATATTTCAGGAACCAAAGTCTTTCAGACGATCCATTCATGTTTCACAATCTTATCATTTAGCCCCTTCATCCACTCTTTCTGCTATCATCGATCGATGCTTCTGTATATGCGTTTCTGGATAACCTTTTAATATTCAAAACGATTCAAGTGCTACTTGTTTTATTCAGTGTTTCATTACCAAGTACCAACCATATGTCAACGTCTACCATCTCAACCCAAACCACTTAATTACTACAATATTATATAAGTTCAAAAATATTAATCTTTTTATATATGTATTACGTACAATTATTATACAATAGTTTTTCTTTTGGTGGATGTCATGGTTAACAAGTTTCGATGTCTGTTACCATAATTTAATAATATGCATAAATATGTACTCATTTACCAATTATCACGTAATTTAATAACACATATATTTGTTAATATTACATGCTAAGTCTGAGGGATTAATTTATTTTATTCGAACGATGTATCCTTTCTATTGATTTTCTAAAATACAGTTCTAGTTTTGTAATGACAGATAAAAAAATCAATTGATATGAAAATAGTTATATTTAATGAATATAATAATAGAGTATTATCAAAGTTATATATATATATATATATATA